CTGGTGGACCCCCCCCCCCCCCCCCTCCTGAATTCTTTTCGCCATGGCATATAGAGAGCGAAAAAAGAACAACCAGCCGTCGCACAATGCGAATAGCGTAACGTGTGGCCCGTCCAATGCTCCAACCCATTACATAGGCTTGTTCCCCTATTAACTGTAGCGCGTATCCACTTCAGCCATAATTCGTCATCGTCGTCAGTCACCGCATGAACAATGGGCACGAAATTCCTTGAAGTTGAAGTTTATTGCGACATCGTGAAAATACAAGTGACATGGTTCATAAGTATTACAGAAGGAGGTCCCGAAGTAAACACTGTCAGGGGGGACCTCCTAGCGATCATGTGTTGATTGGAATACAGGGCAGGCAAATGTCGAGCAAAAGAAAAGCATGTTCGAAACACGGAAAACGATAAAAAACACAAGAAAAAAACAAAGATAATTCAAAAGCATGAAATGCAACGATAGTACAGAAACTTATACATTAGTACACTCTGGGACAAATCGACGCGAATTCCAAGTTAACAAGGCGTAAAACAATTCCCAATTGCGAAAACACAGTTGCTGAAAGAATGCAAAAGACAAATGAAAATGAAACAAAGAAAAACAAATATGAGTTAAGAAAACGTGAAAGATGGTACCATGAAATGTTAGCAAAGATGTTGGAGTGAATGTTTCTTTAATTCTGCTTTAAATGATGCTATATTGCGGCACATTTTAATGGACGTATACGTATATTGAATTCCAGAGGTAAATACCAGAAAACAACGCTGTCTGTTTACCATAGTTTGAGTGCACCACCGGCAAGAGTAAACTATGTTGTAAGGAAAATCTTGTCGAATTTGGATTTATAAGATAACGGGATGGAATACTGTTTATTTCAATATCATGCTGACGCGCGCGAAATATGACCATACATAATTTCAGAGAAACGGAACGAAGGGTAGGGAGAATGCCGAGATTACTGTGGATAGGCGTAGCGGAGTCATTCCAGTGACTAAAAGTTATAATCCTCAAAGCTTTACTCTGTAAATGAGTAATCTTGGACAGATGAGTCCTATAGGCGTTTCCCCAGGAAGAACAACAGTATGCCAGGTGAATATGAATGAAGGCGAAGTATAGTGAACGAAGAATGTGCAAAGGGAAGTAAGTGCGGGTTTTAATCAGAACTCGAATTCCAAAAGAAATTTTGGACGAAATAGCGGCAATGTGCTTATCAAACTTTAGGTGATAATCAATGGTAACACCAAGAAAGGTGGTTGAGTCAGACGGGAGAATAACATGCGCGTCTATGGTTAGGCGCGGCACGAATGGTATATTGTTTTACGTGGAGAGTGAAATAGCATGAATGTAGTTTTAATCGGGTTAATTACGAGCTGATCATTACGGCACCACTGCACGATATTGGCTGCGCCTTTATTTAATTCTCTAAGTAATCAATCTAAATTACTATCAGAGGAAAATATGGTGGTGTCATCGGCGTATAGGGTACATCTAGATGAATTAAGACATTTTGGTAAGTCATTGATGTACAATAAAAAAGGAGAGGTCCTAGTATTGAACCTTGAGGAACACCGTGATTTATGGTATGAGAGTTAGAAAAAGAATCGCCGGCTAGAATAAGCTGGGATCTGTTCAACAGATAATTACGTATAAGCGTTAGTGTCGGACCACAAATACCTTGAGAGTGCGAATAAGCCCATGTAGATGGGATGTTTAAGGTAATCTGTGAATTCGATTAGCGCGAGTTCTGAAGAAAAAGTTGGGCCTGAAACCGAACTGATAAGGTGTCAGAAGACTAAAATTGTTCAGATAATTTGTGTCAGTCGAGTACTCAGCAGTTTCTCGATAACTTTGCTAAAGAAAGGAAGCATAGTTATCGGACGGTAGTTGTTGATTAGCGTGTGGTCCCCTTTCTCGAACACTGGAACTATTTTGCCTTTTTTTTTTGGTTCCTCGGGAAAATCACCATTCTTAAACATTAAGTTAATTACGTGGGCCAGAGGAATGAAAATCTTCGAGGCAACGAGTTTTATTTTAAACGGATGAATGTTATCTAGGCCAGCACCTGTGCAATTTACTTGCTTAATTACTTGACCACTGCAAGTGTTTACACCTGCAGTGCAAGTGTTCAGTGGATACCACGCTTCTCAGAAGAATGACAGCGAAAAACACTGCAAGTGTTTAGCGGATACCATGCTTCTCAGAAGAATGACAAAATATAGCATAGCGAATGCCGGCCTATACTATATACCCCCAAAAATTTGTTATTAATTCCCTAGCCGGTATCAAGCAAGTGTGCTTGCCCTTGTTGCCTTACGAGTGTTTCGAAAAGGCTCTGAAAGGCCGCTCTTCTAGACTTCGCTGTGACTGTGCTGCACCTTCCTCACAGGCCTGGCGTTCTTTTTTTCTTTTTTTCTCGCCCGTCGCGATTGTGATCGACTTGGCCGTGCCATAGTAGAGTGGATTTGTACTCTGTAAACATCGAACATTTTTTTTTCTTTCTGAACACAGAGGTACGGTGACGTCACTTCACGGCCAGTGTATCGACAGGTTCGCTGTGTCGTTCACACATCGTGGTGAGCTCGTTCACGGAGCAATTTTTTGTCGCCACGGCCTCATGAAGTGTGAGCTCCACGGGACGGCTTTTTTGCGCTCCCATAGTCGAGTACCTCGCACTCTAAATCGTCAACAACATTTTCTAAACAACAAAAAACACCATATCTATTACACAACCCTAGCTAGCTGCGTTGTTCAGGGTCACGGTGTCCGTTAACCTCTCCGCAAGACAAGCGGGTTTTTTTGTGTCGTTGTTACCTTGAACGCCGTCGCAAGCGGCAGCCCGCCTGCAGCAATGGACGGTGGCTTGGCCACCATCAAGAACTATAAATAGAAAACACATGCGTACGTTCCTGTAGCCAATGTCTAGATTCGACGACCCATATTTGAAAGTACCTCATGAATGTTACGTTTATTCACATTTTGCGTTATAACTCATGTATACCGGCAAAAAGAAATGCTTGACCAGGATATGTCGCAGAAGTCAATCTTCTCTGAACTTATGCCGTATTTGAATAACACGTGTCGTCACACGTTCTGGAACACACATTGGTCAACACCTTCGTAAATTATTTTTTTTTCATTCAAGATAAACAGGGTGAGTGTGGGAGCATTGCATGCATTGAGTGCAATGGTGTGCCAATTAGTAATTCCTCATTTCAGAGGACTTGAGTGTTATTGAGGAGCCGTTTGGTGAATAACACTTCGATATTCACGGATCGATAGTTCGTCTTTTTGCACGATACACTGTAACGCGTATACGTTGAAGGAAGTATAGAAACACGTTGCATGGTGCTGAATCCTGTACATTTGTAGCTTATTATCAATTGAAGATTAATATGCATATTAATGTCACTTTTTACACACTTTGTGGTTAACATAGCAACGTAAACAATAATTATGCGCGTTCCTGACATGCAGCGACAATTTTTTTTATCATTCCAGTGCACCATTTTTATTTTGTGAAATTTATGCATTTTTTTCCTAGCGCCTTACTATAACAGGCTACCCTTTTGAGGAAACACTTTCATTTCCTATATCTATTTCACTTTCACGCCAACTAGTTGTGCTCGACTTGAGAAAGTTCCGATTTCACGGCAGCCGATAAAGGTGAACCGCTAAGTGAAGATATACCCCCCCCCCCCTTTTTTTTTTTTCAAGACTGGAAGAGTCTGAATGTTGGCTATAACTTCGGAATTCCCCCGCAAAATCAAATCGTTCGGACTTTTGTTCCGGTATACCCACGTGCTACGAGCTTTATACAAAGGTATCGCGATTCATGAGGCGCCTTTGCGCAGGGGCTGAATGTCCCGCTTCATGTAAAAGGATGGCAGGCACTGAACACCCCTTCTGGCTGTCAGCGCCACTTACAAAGCTTGTGGGCTACGCGAAGAAGACACGGGAAGAAAAAGTTAATATCTGGCATGAAGACCAGCGCGCGCTTTTCATATAGATAGGCTTTTTTACGCTACGACGCGCATTTTAGAGTAGGCACACTATTATGAGGCAATATCTGGGAATTCACCGCCACCGCAATTTCCCGACAGCCTCTCCCACGAGTTGTCGGTGCCTCATCACAACATCTTACCGGGGAAACTGCATCGGAATTTGTAATTGCGATGCGCGTTCCGGAAACACGGGAACAATCGTGACGGGGCACGTAAGACGACACTTCTGGCCTAGCGCACAAAAGCGAAACAAAAGCACCGATCTCGGAAAGGAACGAGACAAAACACTTTTCCACCTGTAGAGTGACGATGTTCGCGCACCTATCCCTCCTTTTTTATTGGGAATCCGAACCGACTTGATCGACGTTTTGCCGTTGTAAGAGACGAAGTGATTCCGGCACATGCTTCGCTTTCTAACGTGACGCGCTCACTCAGCCCCATAATTTTTGACCGGAAAACCTCATCCATAAACGTCACTCAACGAAGTTCGCGTACTTTACGACCAATCCATCGCGTTTACCCCTGGACGGCACGAGACCTTCGAAGGACGGCGAGAAAGCTACCGACGCCGTGCCTGCATCTGTGTTTTCCGGCGGCAAGAGCGCCAAAGCGCGGGAAGACAAGCAACAAAGCGTAGACGCTACGCCGAAGCTAGCGCAGCAGGGAGCGCAGCGTCTAGAAAGAGCGTTCACGCACTCTCCCGCCGCTAACGGTGGGAGTACGCCGCGCAAGAGAGGGTGAGATTACGGAGGGAACTACGTTTTCGTATAGCGTCGCGTAAGGGGAGATTTTTTTGCTCCTTTGATACTAGGCCATGACCGGCGCCGTGCAAGGAAAGGATTCGAGTTGTGCAAGCGGGCGAGGGTGTGTGGGGAGGGTGTTATACGGCGGTGACGTCCGTCCAGGACCGAGCTGCGTTGCGGGACAGCCGCGTGCTGCGGCAAAGCCCAACGCAGCGTCCGGAGACCTTCACAATAAAAGGCACCGCGCCGGCTGAGGAGGACAGACACACTCGCTCACATCCTCAGCTGCAACGGACCGAGACGTTCGCTCTACCGAAGCAAAGTGTCTTCAATCGTGTGTGTGTGCATCGTACTCACTCGGACTAATTGTACTCATTCGACTGCACCATGATACCCTGTTGGAAACAAGTGACCACGGCGGCTTCCATGATGGTAAGCGCTGTTGTTCGTGGAGTATAAGTGCCCCATTGAGGCGTGTAGGATGAGGACGTCCACACAAAATGCGGGAAATTCAATACGGTGCGTGACAGAATTTTTGCATGGCATTCCGAGGCGTGGGGACATGCGTGTGGAATCTGTAATGATGTACATCGTAGGGTATACCTCTGTGAAGACTTTAGCCTCAGAAGATGCGTACGTGGAAGTGTACCAGGATAGGAAAGCCGAGACGTGCAAAACTAGAAGGCTGTGTGCACTGGTTCACTCGTTTGCAGACTCATACTTGGAGAAAGAGGGTTACGTCCGGTGCAAACACTAGCCCGGCCAGCTGTCTCGATTATAAGTCGTCTATCCCAATGCTGGTCGCACGTACAAAAGTAGCTATCGCTATACAAGGTGGTATCTGAGGGCTGGATTCTGTTATGTGCAGCATGGTCGGCAATGTAAGGTTCAAGTTAAATGCAAACTCAAATGACGACACATTCGCATAATAAAACATAGCGTCGGCGATTTTCTCTTATGTCCATTTAAGAGCAACAAAGGCGCGTATGCTTTGCAAAGACCTTTTGTTCGCTTTGGTGCGATTGTAAACTAGCACTCGTAAGGTGCGCTTGCGGTAAAGGACGTCCTACAGGCAGGCTGGCAATGCATTCCTATGATTTGATTGATTTGTGGGGTTTAACGTCCCAAAACCACCATATGATTATGAGAGACGCCGTAGTGGAGGGCTCCGGAAATTTCGACCACCTGGGGTTCTTTAACGTGCACCCAAATCTGAGCACACGGGCCTACAATATTTCCGCCTCCACCAAAAATGCAGCCATCACAGCCGGGATTCGATCCCGCGACCTGCGGGTCAGCAGCCGAGTACCTTAGCCACTAGACCACTGTGGCGGGGCTATGCATTCCTATGAGAAGTGCGATCTTTGATTGTGCATAATGGAAATTATTGAAAGCGAACACAGAGTAGATTTGATGGCTCGAGATTTTAATCATGGTGTATAAATACGGGTTGATTCGCTATAAACGTGAAAGGATCATTGGGCCTTACAATATCGGACAAGTATTTCAAGAAAAAAAAAAGAAATTCCATTTTTTGTTCTGCTTCATGACTATAGAGCTTAACAGACAAGCGCTACAGGTCTCTGTGTTACTTATATGAGTGGCCTCGCACTTCAACTTATCGTAAATTCTATCGTAAATGTCACCTACACGAGAGAACGGAAGAGCTTTCAATACTTGAAATAGCTTATATGAAACTGAACGAAAAAAATTCCTATACAGCTTTGTACCGTTACAAGTTATATTCTTCGAGCTTCTGAAATAATACTTGTTTTATATTACATTCGCACCAATTTAAGATATTATAGCAGTGGTAGGAGTAATAGCCGATGTGATAAAAAATGCTTGGCTAGCATTGTAATAGTAGCAGACACACCTTCAACCTTCAGCTGTTAGGCTCAAGGCTGATCACTATCATTAACTGTACGCCACTTGATTTTCCTAGAGCATACGCGGGATTTTCCCAGCTTTGGCAATGAAACGAGGTAAATTATTTCAAATGCCAAGCAGGAGATGCCAGGTGTAATAAACTGCTCTACACCTAGCTCATAAATAAAGAGGACAGAACGAAAAAGACACTGTTACTGCTCTCCCTGGCGAACGAACAGGAATATAAATTATCTAAAGTGATCTGGGATGGCTTAAGTGAGCTTGTACGCATACCTCCCATCCTTGGCTTTCATTACGATTGGAGATGGTAAAGGGGTATGTTTTATTAAAATACGGCAATTTATCTTCGCATTCTAAATACTTAAGAGAACTACATTATGATAGGACGTGAAAGATACTCAAAGGAAACAAGGCAGTGATAAGAGATCTTCGAACAAGAATGTCACTGAAGCAAGAACCTGTCTCAATCAGTCAGGTTGTTCCGAGGCAGTAATTTTTCTGCGCGCCGAAAGGTGATTGCAGGGTTGTCTAACACGTGACCGTATATAATTTATCGTCGTAACATACAGCTAAGATGAAACGCCACTTTGCTGTTTTTTTAACCACGCATTTGTAATATCGAATCCAAATGGTTCAAAGTCGGGCGTTCGTGCAAAATGTGCTGGGAGCCGATGCCATGGTGGGAAGACCTGTTTATCGCGATGATCGGGGACTTCACGGCGTTGCGTGCCGCGATCTCATCTCGCGCTTTTCTCTACGTTGAAGGTCAAGCATATACGTTGATGTTACGGCAACGCGTCCGCAGATAACGTGTCATTGCCAAAAAGTGGAGGAGACTATGTACCCGCTCGCTTTTGCGATGCGTCTGATAACGCCAAAAACTTAGTAAAAGAAAAGAAAAAAGGTGGAGGTACCATCTACCTTGGAGATAACCTTAAAGAAAAATATTATTTCGGAATAGTCGACTACGTAGTTCTTCCATAAATAACTCGATCGAAAGGGGAGGGGGGGGGGGGAGCTTCTCATAGGGTAAGTCTAACAGAAGGCCTCTGTAACTGCGATATGCAAATCAGAGACGAAAAACGATGCTTTTACAGCAGCGCCACCAACTTGGCACACGGATCGTTGATCTTTTTTTTTTTTTGCGCAGCTCTTGTTATCCCATATGCGATTGGCAATAGGCAATACCTTAGCTGTTACGCGGCGTCTACCTTTTATTGTAGACGACTTCGTGTTTTCCTATAGGCACTACGCAAAAATTGCCGCAGGTGAACACGATTGCGCAATCGAATCTAGCTATTAAAGCCGATTCGTCAAATGGACGGCAGCAACGATTTTGCGGCTACTGCTACTATTGCTACTATTAGTAATAAGATGAGAAAAAAATTAAAGCAAGTTTACAACGAAGATTTTATAGTTTTTTTTACCAATGGTGTCCCCCGACTCTCAAGAGCAATGAAATAAATTTGGCGACTTAGTAACTAGCTTTAAGCCATCATTAAACGTAGAGCGAACCATTATTAAACTCACCCAGCAGGACACCCTTCTGTAGCTTTAAACAGAATGTAACTGTACATACTGAATCACTCCTGTGTGGGTCGACGACATACGTACGCTTCCCTGTGCATATTTAGCCTAATTCATAATCTCAACTATAGCTAAACACATAAATAGATTATGTTCTACAAGGTGCCCCAAGTGTCTAATACTAATTTGAACCCAATTGTATGACTTACAAGCAGTCATAATTCTATGTCTTTTGTCGAAACATAGTTCCCTGTTTCCGTAATCCTTCCGGTTAAAGTGTTTCTCATAACTGATGAGATAGCTTCTCGAAACACTGCAGACAGTCACACGTCTATAAGGGACCAGGAAAGCGTAATTAAAATTTACAGGTAGTGGTGCACTGTAAATCGCTTAATTTTATAAGTGGTCCTGTTGATCGAGCGAATACCTGGACCAAAATTAAATGTTCTTTGACTCAAGCATAGCGTTGTAAAGAAAAAAACAAACAAACTGCGATATTTCCTCTCCGAATAAGGCGGCGTGGCGCACTAGACAGATCACTTCGTGTAGCAGGGGGTAATTAGAAAATAACATTTTTCTGTTAGCCGGAAACTTTATTTTTTGTCTATGTTAGCGCAAGCGTTCTTCGAGTGTATGAGCATCTATGCGTGCACAAGCGAAATTAGAGAATTGGGGTAGGGGGGGGGGGGGGTTGAACTCTTCGCCATGTCGACGCTATAGTGGCGTGCAGATCACGAGGTGTGTTGCGCGGATAACCTTTGCGAATGTTACGTGGTAAGCCCGACCGAATCACGCCACTCCCTATATACACTCGGCGAGTACACGTATACGTGCATTCTGAGCGTGCCCTGAAAGACGACGAATCGAAAAGCTCTGGAGGTAAACCTGGTAAACCACGAATCCTCTGTACATTTTGCCCACTCGATTTTATTACATCGCTCCCCCTAGCGTACGTCGCCGCACTAAATCGAACGATTGCCTTCAACCAATGACACGCGCCATATGTGACATTATTCCTATTTTATAGGATCTCGCGTCTTTCATCAACTACAAGTACCGCTTTCTAGTTTATAACATCTTGCATCTTTTCATCATCAGCTACAAGTACCACCATCTAGTAAACACTACAAGAACTAAACGAGAGGTGGCTACATACAGGAGACGGTACCGGCAGCTAGTGAACACTGCAAGAACTAAACTAGAGGTGGCTACATACAGGGAACGGTACCGCCATCTAGTGAACACTGCAAGAACTAAACTAGAGGTGGCTACATACAGGGGACGCACAGCCCACGCCCTAAGGAGCTTCGCCCCTAATATAACTTTCGCTCGCTTTCTTTCCCGTCTTCGCAGCTGCTGGTCAGCACACTCGTGGGTCTGTGTCCAGCCCTGGTGCTCGTTCATCCGGTCGGCGTCGTGCCGCAGACGCCGGTGGTCTACCACTCGCCCAACGGGCAACCCCTGCTGCCCGTCGGAGGAGGGCCGCCGGTCATTTACCACTACGGTCCCGGAGGCGTCAGGTGAGATTTCGGCACGAGTCGTCGCTCGATTAAGAGCATTCAGTACAGGATCCACAGACCTTGTCACCTTTCCAATAATAATAAGCCTTTCCGATAATGACAACAACAACAACAACAACAACAACAACAACAACAACAACAACAACAACAACAACAATAATAATAATAATAATAATAATAATAATAATAATAATAATAATAATAATAATAATAATAATAATAATAATAATAATAATCTTTATTGTCATCTTAAGTTGTACAAAACAAATAACAGGCCTGTCAAAGCGAGAAGGTGGCTTGGAGGACTTGGCCAGGCACATCGGCAAACGAGAGATGACATACACATAGAAAAACTTTTCATTAAAAACAGTCAGAGAAAGAATACATGTAACTCATTTACGCTACATTTAAACACGATAACAATCAAGAATCAAATTAGCGGAAGCAATACTACCTAAACAGCAGAAATGTGATGAATAAGTATTGAAAATTTTCAAACAGATTTTACCCATAATGCGATAACTGATGCAGCATTAAAGAGACGTTATAGGCTCTTTCGTAGACTGCGTTTAGTCGTTGCCGAAAAAACACTGTCGGGGGGGGTCATTAAGAACAGTAGGGACATAGACCTTTCTAGTAGCTTTGCCACATCGTGTTTTGACGAATGGCACAGAAAATTGAGAAGTTTTTTTGAATATACGAGAGGCAATGCATTAGTTTTTGAACTGAGAGCCCCATAATAATAATAATAATAATAATAATAATAATAATAATAATAATAATAATAATAATAATAATAATAATAATAATAATAATAATAATAATAATAATAATAATAATAATAATAATAATAATTGTTGGGGTTTCACATCCCAAAACAATGACCTAAATGAAGCACATTGGCCATTGGATATGCGGTCGTTGCGGCCGGGATTCAATCCCGCGACGCGCGAGCCAGCAGCCGAGTGCCTTATAGCCACCAGCTAGGCCACCGTTGTCACCTTCCGAGAAAGAAGAAGAAGAAGAAGAATAACTTTATTTATGAAGTCCAGCGAAGTTGATTTGGGGCGGGCCTAGGCGTCGGCCACGAGCCCTTGGGCTCGGGCGGCTTCCTCGGCTCGCTGGACGGCCCACAGTTGTTGTTCGAATGAGGAGCTGAGCAGAGCCCCCTCCCAGCGTGTCCTGCGGTCCGAAACTGCCTCTTCGTGGTTTTCATCGTTGCTTTCATCTAAACTCGAGCATTCCCATAGTATATGTGAAAGTGTCGCCCTTTCATCGCAAACCTTGCATTTTTCTGTTAAATACAGATCAGGGTAACAGAGACTAAAGAGAACTGGATTCGGATAAGTATATGTTTGCAGTTGTCGCCACGCAACTGCCTGTTTTTTATTTAACCTGTTGTGTGGCGGAGGGTACTTTCGCCTTTCTAGCTTATAGTGCTGCGTTATTTCGTGGTAACTAGTCATGCGGTCCCCCCACTCCCACTCCCCCCCGCGTGGAACTTCGTCCGAGGCGGCGTCGGCGTTCGCAACGGCTCGGTTCGTGAGTGCTCGAGCCGCCGCGTGCGCCGCCTCGTTGCCGGCCAGCGGGGTTTGTGTGTGTGCGGGGGTCCATATGACGAAAGTGTCATTTTTTTCCCGAATTTTGTCTTCGTTAGTCATTAGGATTCGCAGCGCCTCTCGGGAGACACGACCGTTCGCATAGTTGCGTATCGCTGCTTGCGAGTCACTAATTACTACTTCGGCCTCAGTGGTCGCCACCGCGAGTGCTATGGCCACCTCCTCGGCCGTCTCGGTCAGTGGCGTTTGCACCGTAACGCTCGTCATGCATGTCCCTCCGAGAAAGCCAAGCAGAAATAACAAGGGTGGACTCCGGAACCGGAGGCATAGATCTGACATTCGTATGTCCCTACAGATAACGCACCCGGAGTTTAGATTCATTCCAGGAATTCGGGCGGTCGGGAGAGATTTCGGAGCCTGTAGATAACGCTTTCCGCTTACGATAAAATTGCTAAGACAGCCTGTCCTAAAATGCTGAAGGTTATGGATTGCAGCTGATAGCGTGTGACTTGTGCTATACTTAATGCGTAGAAAGAATGAGTACGCGTATTCTATACTAAGCCAATATTTAGCAAGTATAGAAGCAGCTAGGTCATGCAAACTTGCACGCTCTTTGGCTGTTCTATGTTATTTTGTCGGTACGTATTTCTCGATCGGGTCGGTGGCTTACGCCAGGAAGTGGTAACTCCTATCAGAGACGGCCAGAGTACGTTGAGTGGGTCCAATCTACTGTGCCTCATTTTTATCAAACAAATAGTGATCTTTGCTTTAGTCGTGGTTATTGAGCAGCACAACTTGATCGTGTATGATTATGAGCGAGTATACGTACGAGCATATTAATGAACATTTGTATTCCGTCACATGATGCCCTGCAAATTGGTGTGGTAGGCCCCGTCGAGTTGTCTTCTGCGACTTTTAGCCCAAGGGCCCATCCAGATTGTGTTCTGTTCTTCTTGTTAAGACGTTCTTGTTCTCGAAGGCTTTGCCACATTCTAAATAAAGATAATTCAATTGAACTGAACGTTCCACGCAGCCCCGAACTGCAGCCTCCCGTCGTCCTCGTGCTTCCCGCATATCCGCCCGCGAACCAGCCTCCGATGCAACCACCGTTCATCGAGGAAGTGCCCCCCGTGTTCAAGAACCCGCCACCGGACCCGGAGGACACCCCGCCAGCCAAGAAGCCCAAGGTTCACGGACGCCGAGGCAACAACCAACCCGACTGTTTCGAGGTGGACAACAAGAAGGGCGTCGCACCGCCACCGACCCGCAAGCCTTCCAAGAAGGGCCGCGACTCCCAGACGAGGAAGTCCATGAGGCCGCCCGCGGAGTCCACCACCAAGAGGCCGCCCAACAAGCTCAACCGTCGCGTCAACCCCAAGAGCGAACGCCTTACAAGCGAGAGGTTAACTATGGCGAAGAACGCCTAAGTCTTTCTCGTCCGTCTGCGCTGAATTACCTTGCTGCGGCGCGATTTTCAACGGCGGCGGATTCCGCCATGTTGCCTTCTTCCGATCGGCTCTAAAGCGCAGGGAGAAGCGCCCCCTGTTTCTTGTTTCAAAACGGCAACGTGGTGGAGCTCCGCTCTCGGTGAAAAGTTCGTAACACGGCTGGTTATATACGCAGATGGTCTCGCGGGGCGTCGTCAGATTGCTGCGATGATTTTCCTCTGTGCGGTTGTCTACAATTAAGCATGGTCTGAATACTTTTGCAGCAGCCATAAGCGCTGGAAACTAAGCCATGAGCGTTGGAACTAACGGACAACTCAGAAGGTCGGTATTAAATGTTTTGCTACATGGTGAAAAATTCTTCCGAAAAAGGCATTAGAATCAGTATCAAGCAGTCTGAAAAAAAATTAGATTAATTAGCAGCAGGTGACCCGTCGGCATTCACTTTATGCTAACTTTGTAATAATAGACATCACCTGACAAAGAAAAAAAAGCTAAATGTGACGTCACTAGTGTCAGCACGCGTATTCGTAAACGTTGGCCGGAGATTGCGCCCAGAACAGTGCTAATTTGCCAAAGTGCAGATGTTTTATGTTTTTTTTTTCAAACGCACATTGAGGAAGCATCAGCACGTTGAAGGTGAATGCGGATATTGACGACTGCGCGAGCTTAAGTGACTCCGTGCAAGACACGGGGTGTTTTTAGTCATTTGGCGTAAGCTTAGTCATGATTCACATGACTAAGCAACCACGCTAGCTGCTTAGTCGTGACATTTCTCACATCCACATTACATTCCGTTCATTCCAAGTTCAGCCGATAGCCAGTGTTTCCGGGTTCCGAGCCATCAAAGTGTCGACCTTTGTATCTCTCACCCTGTATAAAGCAAGACCCAGGGGCACCGGCGCGTCGGCACCGATCGTCATGCATCAATCATCGCACAGTAATTTATCGATATTTTTGCATTCATTCTGAGTTTATTATTCTGTAAATAAACTGACATAATTTATCTACCATTTTCTGCCTTGTGACATCGTTGCATGTGGGTTGATGACAAGCCAGTGTTGGCGGTAAGCCGTTACAACGTTGCCGGTAACGTGTTACCTTTTTTTTTTGGTTAGTGTTGTACTCGGTCGTTACAGTTTAGGAACTATAACGGGTAACGCAGCGTGATGTTTCACGATACTCGTTACTTTATCATCCTATAGATGCCTCTTTCCCAGGGATCTCTCAAGGAGTTTTGTCGGCCTGCGAGGACTTTGTTTCGTCTGTGGTAATAGGACGCGCCGACGCAATGTTCACGCGGTTGATCCATCGCCACACAAATCTTGAAAAAAAAAAAACAAAGCTGTAGAACCCGCTATGAGAAACTTTACGTACTTCCTTTTCGTGGGAATGAATCGTAGCAGGTGCATTGCTGGCACCTGCTCCTTCTTTCCGTGCCCAAACGAGTGGCCACCCGAAGAGAAAGCACATGGGCTGGTTTACTTCGTACCACGGTCTAATTGTGACGCTTGACTCGTGGTGGAAGCAAATAAATTCCCCTAAAGGCTTCGGCTGCATAAAAAAAGAAGAAGAAAGAAATGACGTCCGCAAGATCACGTGACAGAGACGAGGGCACCGGCTCAGCACACAACGTGGCTGTCGACCACCTCATGGAACTTGACAACTCGCGCGTTTTGTAGAGTTCTCGCACATCCAGGTGACACTCGATAGCGTCAACCGGTTCGCAGGTGCGCAGCCGATGGAGCGTCTACCTCAACGGAATTCCGCAAGTCATGCTGCTAAAATATGAACTCGGCCGTTTAACACAACTTGCCGTAGTTGCACGATACGAGATTAGTTAATAATAACATTACCATACCTGGGCTCCAGAAAAAAAAAACAAAGCCGATTTGTCGTCGCCGGCTTTTAAGCAGCTCACATGACTTCTCTTGTGGGAAAAATACCAAGACTCCGTATACACTGACGAATCGGTTCGGCCGAACAGCTCAACCGGAGCAGTCGTGATACCAAGGTTAGTCACGACGATTAAGTTCAAGACATACCGCGCAACAACATCAACAACAGCAGGATCGGCAGCCCTTCGTACCGCCTTACAATTTGTCGTTGATCAACGTACACGCAAGGGGACTATTCTCTGCGACTCGAAGGCGGCACTGCAGTCTCTATACGCCATGGACCGCACGAGCAGCTTGTACCGGAGATAGCAGAGGTTATACACCGCCTAACCGAGAAAGGGCACCAAATTATATTTCAGTGGTTGCCCAGTGACTGCGGAATCATCGGAAATGAACCGACCGATCAAGCTGCCTTCTTGCCCCGCGCAGAAGACCATGAACTGCTACTACCACTTTCTAGGACAGATGCTGCTCGAAAGCTCCGCTGGCTTGCTTGCCAACAGGCCACGTAACAATGGAATCAGCCACACTTCATGCCTGCCGGACTGTACTCGCTTCACCCTACGTTGAGTCTTGAAGTCCCGTCGAGGCTTTGCCGAGCAGACGAGACCCTTTCAATGCAGGCTGTGGTTGGGCGTTGCGTGTAGCAACGGCTACACGCTTTCTGCATTGGTATGGCAGATACCGCAGACTGTGACCACTGTGGCAAAGAAGCAACCATCCGATATATCCTTTGTGACTGCCTAGAGTATATTAGAGAACAACTATGCCTTCGCAAGGAACTCAGCAAATTAGATAGTCAACCCCTGTCGGAGGAGAGAATTTCACACTACCGACAAGATGCAGCTTCACAGAAGGAGGCCCTAAAAGCGCTTCTGCGTTTTTTTTTTTTTTTTTTTTTTTTGCGATTGACCGGTCTTTCTAAACGGTTGTAGCCAGAACGATCTTCCCGTGTGCATTTTTTTTTTCATGAGTGGACGTGCGTTTTTTTATTATTCCTCTCTCTCTACCACCTCTTTCTTGCTCCTATCTATTTATTTATTACAATACTGCCAGTCTGATCTTCAGACCTTAGGCAGGAGTGTGGGTACAAGTGAATACAAAAAAAAAAGAAGGGGGGGGGGGCTTACAATAAACACATATGAAGTATTGCAGCGATAATAAGAACAAAAGAAGAAGAGTAGAACGAATTCATACCAGCAAAGCAGCAAGATATTTAAATGAGCAGTGCGAACATGAATACGTAAACATATGGAAGAAAAAAGGACGTCGGAGTTTCATGTACAACTATGCCAGAGCTATGTGCTGGGTAGCGAACCGGATGTCGTTAACCTCCCAGCCTCCCTTTTTTTCCCTCTCTCTGTAGGGGGCCCTAAAGCTTCGCATTTGGGAGTTGAACGCGATAGCAAGACCCAGTTCGTAGTGCGTACCATCAAACACTTGGTGCATGAAACCTTTTTGAATTTGCTATGCACCCACTACGTGGCCTTAAGGGAATAGGGGCGTGTGTGCCTCTTGTAGCGGGGTACTGGCTTTTAACCACGGAGCCATTATGGTAATCAAAGCTTTGACAACGTGAAATTTTACTATGCCTAGGTGCACATACCCTAGGGCGCAGACACGGGAAGGCGTACGAGGCCGTGCAAGATTTCGTTGAACAGTCCAGGACATTCACTCAAATACCTCAATACTAAAAGGTTCTTAGTTAACCAATGACAGGGCTACAGGAAAATTCTTTGATATCAATAATATACTGCTATTTTAGTAATAACTAGATAATTCGATTTCTTTCTCAATAATATTTTCAAAAAAATTAATATTTGTGTTATTTCTTTCCCTAGAGGAGTTGGTATACAGGACGCGCGTGCTTGAGAAGCACGGCAGCTACTTTTCCCTGCTTTTTCAAGCAGGGGAAATTCTTTCCACTGATTTCACAAGCAGAGGCGTGGTAGCATTGCTTTGTTAGCTGCAAAGATGCCATACTGTTTTGGGATGTCCTTCAGCGAGCACAAAAAAAAAAAAACGTTTCGCCAGGGCCCATGGAATCATGGCCGTCGTCTAGGTTTGGTCCTCCCTTCTCCTCTCGCACCTGAAAGGGGAGGAGGATCTTTCTGCCAATAAACAAAGTTAGTTCATCATAATCATCAATTATCACACGATACGTTATCTTCTACCAGCAGCGCTTGATGAAGTATCATATGACACGTTTTTCGTCATGGGTATGCACAGCTTGTGGAAGATACGAATGCAAGACCGCAATGCAGAGTCCACCACCTCATCAAGCACACACTTCATTCAAATGGCTATCCACCTCAAAAACATTTACGACGAGCTTGACTTTAGACTGGACTGATACTTTATCTTAGAGAACTGTTTGACCTCACCCCTTTTTTCTTTGCCTAACACGATGTGAAGATCTTCATGTGAGGAACTCACGCTGTGTTAGTCATTGAGTGTTTATGAGTAACGCTTGAACGCTTATTTTCGCGATTTGATTGTACTTTCGTTCGCTTGATTTGTCTTTATTAGGCAAATATTTTATTAAATACCATGCAAAAAAAAACCGTGTGGTAGAACATCCGCTTGCCACGCAAACTACCCTGGCTCGTTCCCCACTTGAACCCCAAACAACCCTGTTTAAGTCCCCTTTCTGCTCCGGGATTTTTTTTATCACATTGTTTACATTATTCTCGATTTTTCGGTCACGCATAAGATGATGATTTTTCGCTCACAGCCAACCACGCCGATGACGCAATTTCTGCGAAACGAGCTCTTTAACGCTAATTGGGGTAAAAAATTTATTCTGATGAGCATCCGCAGGCAGTTTGTCCCGGCAGCTCGTCAGGTAATCGACAGTAGGCGGTTACTTCCTCGAGATGTGCTTCGCATTAATTCTCCCCCGGCTGCCAACAGACTAGACCTTTTCACTCCCCCCAAAAAAGTGCGCTGCCGAGTCTATGACGTCATCTTATGTGCTCCCGTCGAACAGCCCAGAAAGAAGGAGATAATTCTCTACGTTAAAAGGGCTTATAGACTATCTTAAGGAGGCGTTTCTGCGCCAGATTGTTGCCAGTTTTGCATCTTTCACTACTAAACGAACAGCGTTACTGTAAACGCAAAAAAAAACGGCCGAGCTGCTGCCTAGAATGCTTTAAGAGCCGAAGATGGTGGCGTCCACATATCTTACAAAAATTATCTATGCACGGCCAAAAAAATATCACTGACGAACCAGAAAGTGAACACATAAGACCTTCCTCGTGAGGTGATGCTTCGAGTGATTTTATTATTAAGAAAGGTACAAACAATATACAAACTAAACACACAAGACAGTACTTGCTCACTTCGCATGTACAAGAAAAATAAAAAAGAAACGTCGTTAGGGCTTCCTGAGACGAACACACACAAACAGCACATAACTTCTCAAGACAAAAACAAAAAAAAGTAACCTATATCACAGTGCACAACAATGAAATGGCAGAATGGCCGCAGTCGGAAGACTATTATCACAGCAGAACACAAATGCGGAATACTGGTCTGTATGCTTTGGCATTCCTGTTTCTATGACTAGATAAGAAAGTCAGAGAATTGGGAAGACAGACTTACCTCACTAACACACAAACAGCACATAACCTCTCAATACAAGAACAGAAAAGTTACCTAAATCACAGTTCACGACAATGAAATGCCAAAATGCGCGCAGTCGTAAGACTATTATCACAGGAGAACACAAATGTACTACTATATCATTCATGTTTCCACGACTAGATTAAAAGTCAGCCGATTGGGCAGACCGCTTTCCTCACAAACAGCACAACCCTTTTCAAGACAGAAATAAAAAAAGTTGACCCAAATCACAGTGCAAAACAATAAAATGCCAAAAGAATGCCCACAGTCTTAAGACTATCACAGGAGAACGCAAATGTGCTATAGAATTCATGTTCCGACGACCGGATGAAAAGTCGGAGAATTGGGAAGACAGACTTTCCTGCAACGTTTTTTTTTTTTTGTATGCGAAGATCTCTTGTAGAGAACCATATGCGATTCGAGCGTATCTACGCCACTATTTTATGAGAGGGTGTAGCTGGGTCTGACGACTATGGTTATCTGATCGTGGC